TAGTCAGCCCGTCGCATGACCGAGAGAATAACTCAGATCTCAAATTCTCGATATCGAGGTTGAATTTCGGAATGGCAACAAACTTCTGCCACTTCGTCAACCACGGGTAGGCAGAGTGCCTTGGCTGCAATGGGAGAGCTCGTTCATGACCGTCTTCCTCATGTTTCCGACCATTAACCGCGTCTGCCACAGCTGCTCAAACTCTTCCCATGTAATCTTGGTGTGCAGTGTTGCGATTGTACAGGCCTTTTGCAACGCCAATTTTTCATGAAGGCCTGGCTGCCGCCAATCAGCTGGAGGTACAGCGCGTTGAGGCGCTGATCGTCGGGAACGTGGTGCACGTCCGCCTCCGTATTGAATGCGGTCCACCAAGCGAGTGCGTTGGTCTTGTGATAGTCGTCAAATGAGATATGACAGAAAGCACTGACAGTGCAATTCGCTCCACAGAATCCTCACAACTAGTCGAGTAGATCACATCCAAGAACCAATGAAGCGAAGATAGTTCACACCCAGTATTAACACTGTTTATTAAACTCAGAGTCTCGAATTGCCAGAATAACCCCAGAACTAAGGTGCGCTGCTCAGAAATGAGCAGCGCTTCACTCCCCAACCCTGAGTAACCGCTAATAGCACCCCTGAGTCCATGAAACATCAAAGGCCACCCAGATACTGCCTCCAGAGGGACGCACCACCCTGAAACAGGCCTCTGAGGCCAAGCGCTTCTCAAAGGTTGAAGAAGAAGACCAGTGCCACAGTGTCTGATGATGATGAAGTGCTGGATGACTTCCCAGGTGGAAGTCTACAGCAGCGCCACCTTTCCTGACAAGATGAACTCTGAGGAAGAAGCTGCAGCTATGGTTGCAGCGCCACACACCCTGTACCCTACTCCTGAGGAGGGTTCAGCAGGGCACCAACTTCTCCTGCCTCCAGCAGACCTCAAATAGCTCGAACCTCTGTACAGCCCCTCGTGCTGTCAGAGTACAGCGCAGGTCCCAGCTATGGCCGGCGCTCCGAAGGTCCGGCTATGTCCGTCTTCACCAACGTTGAAGCTGTCACCACTTCCAGTTCATGCGTTGCACAGTAGCAATTACTCGGTACCGACTGCCAAAAAGCCCTGAACCGATGTCCCCATCCTATCTACATCCTACACTAGCCTAGACACGACTTAGACCGGACTGACTGGACCGACTGGTACCGTTTCAGTTCCGGCCTCTAGGGCCTCTCCCTATCCGGCTATAGGCTATAGGACCGTCTATAAGCTTAGGCCCATAGGGCCTGTCTATCCTAGGGGTAGCCCGGGCCTGCTATTCGCAGTTAGGGTAGCTGTAGGAAATGCTAGTTAGTGTGGGCCTATATTTTCCCAAATTTGCAGATATCTCCCTCTCGGATTTTCCCTGCAGGCAGGTCTCTCGGTTAGCCCTCAGCCAAACAAAAATACAAATCTGTCCTACCTATAGTACAGCCCTGACGAGAGAAGCTACAGGCCACTGGAACCAGCAAGTCATTGCAACTGGATGTGAGCGCCTTCATAGGCCATGCAATGGACCTCTCTCTCTCTCTCTCTCTCTCTCTCTCTCTCTCTCTCTCTCTCTCTCTCTCTCTCTCTCTCTCTCTCTC